CATTTAAGTATCGTTTCGAGACTACCAGTAAATCAGTAGTATGAGATGTATTCACCCTATTTTGTTGAAGAGGATGAAGGACTGGTAGAAGAAGAATTTTCCCACAATCATATGAGTAGAGCTGACGTTTCCATTGAATTTCACATAGCTTTGCTTTGCCAAAAGTGAAGTTGACTGCAGATTTGCTCTTGCATATTTCTTATCAGCACCCCCAGCGGGACTCTAACCAGGACACTGCGGCTTCTGATCTGTTCACGTTAACCATTACACCACACCACCGCTAGTGTCGATTTGTCATAGGACAGATGTAAATTTCAACGAATTTTATGCATTTTCCAAATTACATTCTCTATTGAGATTGTCGATGCAGCCAACGTATATGTGCTATATAAATCGACTGCTTTACTTAATCATGGCTACCAGTAAATCAGAACCCTATTCAATCATAATTGTCGTTGCGTTAAATGTATTCAATCTATTTGATTCAAGGTGATGAAGGACCGTTAGTAGACTCTTCCCACAATGATACGAGTAGTGCTGACGTTCCATTCAATCTCACATAGGCTTGATTTCCCCAGCGTGAGTTGAACAGCGACCACTCGGCCATATTGCCACGAGTGCACTTTGTTCGCAGGGCAGATGAGGTATTTTCCAACATCACATTCTTTGGTGGGACCGTCGATGAAGCAATTCTATTTTTGCTCCTCCAATCGACGACACTACTTATTTTCGTATATAAGTAGCGTGTCACGACTACCAGTAAATCAGCCATATGAATACCGCCAGTCCTTCCTACTACTGATATACTACTGATCATCCCTAAAGTCTACTTTCCGCGGAAAAATATTATTTTACTGTGTCATTTTGATTTAAACGCCATTTCACGCTTGTCCTCGTCCCGGCCGGGTGTGTCCAGCCGAATTCCAGCCATTCGAGGCCTCACCGGCGCCGACCTTCTATCGATCCGACAGTGGCTTCATGGAGCCGTTGTACCATGTGCTGAGCGGCCTGTGCTGCCTCGGGCTCCTGTTCAACGTCGTGGCCCTCTTCCGCCTCGGCCGTTTCGTCTGTCTCCTCGGCCGACAAGCGCGCACCATCAACCACCTCAGCCTCTTCCAGCTGGTCGGCAACCTCCTGCTCTTGTGCACCTTCGCGACCGGGTCGCTCGGCCAACTCCGGCTGACGCGCCAGCGCTCCGACGGTACCTGCCGCCAACTGGCAGTCGAGTCGTTCTACCTCGTCCTGCTGGCGTTGTCGGGGAGCGCCAACTTCCTCGTCGGCGTGTACAACTTCGGCAAACTGTTGTACCCCTTTCTCAAGCATCAGTTCAACTCTGCGCTGCTTCTGCCGCTCCATCTCGTCATGACCGCAGTCGTCTGCTCCGCCTACAGCCTCACGTCCGGCTTCATGGCCTGCCGACTGACGCGAGGAGACGAGCCGAACATGTACCAGTCGAAAGCCTACCAGATGAGCGTCAACCCCATCCTCTTCCTGCTCTCCTACGCGCTCGGCTTCGTGCTGCCCGTCTCGGGCGGCGCTGTGCTCTACCGACACATTCTGGACGAGCTGGAGCAGAACAAGAACCCCAACTATCGAAAGGCCTTCCGCGAGTTGAGGATGACCGGCCTGTTGGACGTCTGTCTCTTCGGCGGCACGCAACTGGGACTGGTCGTCAGGGACAGCCTCGAGATTGCGTTCATCTTGGACGTGCACGACGAGGCCAGCAAGCCGTACCAGTGGGCAATGTGCTTGTCGCTGCTCTACCCAGTGCTGTATCCTCTCTTCTCCGTCTGCTCAAGGTCGCATTACCAACTCAAGTCGGCCAGAGAGGTCTGCAAGAGTAGAGATTAAAAAAAATCTACCGAAATCCTGGCCCAGCCGCCCAATATACACATTTATGATGAGAAATTCAATTGTGCTTTTTTATGCAAAAAGACAACAACTAGGCTTCGAAGAGTTCGGTACTGACATATTGGTTCGGTACAGTTTTGCTCTATTTCGCGAAGTATGAAATCCGGCTCTGATGATGTCCATTGCAGTAAGAGCACCACCGACGAACGCTCGGCACAGTCGCATCGCGATCACGAGACCGTGAGCCGAGCACCTCTTGACACAATTCCACTTCGCTGGCCGGTTAGATCACATCACCAATTCCTTTCATAGTAGCCCACCAGTACTCCCACGGGAATCAGATTGGAGTGATATTATTTTGATAAGAGGAATAAAATAGGAAGATAAACTTGGTTTCGATGAATCTCCCATGAGATAACATTGTTAGGGGGACCTTCATTTCGAATGAAAGTAGATGAAGGAGAGATTCGTTTGTCGATCTCACCAGATGAGCACGGATGAAAATCGTTGTACTGCAGCGGTTTAGCTTTTGTATGATATTCATGTTGACGCAGTCCACGAGTCTTCCTGCCTCGTTTCGGGTAAAAACGTGCTGAGCTTTCGTCCATCAAATGATGGACATCATCAGAGCTGGGTTTCATTCTTGTAAGATTCTAACATTAACACTA